ATCACCTTTACTCTTTTCCATTTTCATTAATTCAATCACTCATAAAATATCTTCTCTCTACCACATGTATGCGAATGATGTCCAGATTTACACCCAGTCAACTCTTGAAAATTTGCCGAATACAATCGCTACATTGAATAAGGATCTAAATTTTATTCATCAAATAAATTTCTTTCTCGAGTGGCAGCCTCGTACCGGCAGGCGAAGTGTAGGGCGTCCCCCCACTAGATGGAGTGACGACCTGGTAAGATATGCAGGAAGTCGATGGATGCAGGTGGCTCAGGACCGTGCTTTGTGGCATTCTTTGGGGGAGACCTATGTTCAGCAGTGGACTTGTGAAGGGCTGTAATGATGATGATGATGAAATAAATTTCATTCAACCATATGGCCTAAATATCAATCCCAAAAAGTGTCAGGCCATCATTATTGGTAGCCAGAGCTTTATCTCAAGAATTGACTGGTTCTCCTTACCACCTATCTTATTCGATGGAGTTGTAATCCCTTACTTTGACAATGTCAAAAATCTTGGTATTTATATTGATAATTTCTTAAATTGGATATGCCAACTGAATGAGGTAAGTATGAAAACTTTTGTCGCTCTTTGTTCACTGCGGCGGCTTCGATCATTTCTTCACATTCCTACAAAAATTATACTCGCACAGTCACTTCTCCTTCCGGTTCTCGACTATGCTGACGCAAGCTAAGTAGACATAACTGAGGACCAGCTAAATAAGTTTGAGAGACTTCAAAATACTAGTATTCGGTTCATATTTGGATTGCGCAAATTTGACCATATGTATTTCCAAATTTCGCTCACGTCTCAAGTGGTTACCTATCCGACTTCGCCATATTCTGTACTGTGTATTATTTTATCCTTATACTCCTCTATATCTAAAGGAGAAGTTTAATTTTGTAGGGCTTCCAGGGAAACCTTTACGCTCTTCAAGAAAATTCATTTTAAGGGGAACCAACTCACAATACATTATTTTTAATAAATCTTTTACTGTTCAGTCTATTATGCTCCGGAATACCCTACCTTTGTGTATACGTGAAAGATCGGCTTTCTTCTTTGCGGCGTATGCCAGCAAGTCATCTTTCCTGCGCAGAGATGATAATGATGCTTACAGAAATTCCCTTGGCCAGCCTTGGCGAGACAATAATGTACGAGTTCCTAAAGGAAGACGAACTTGTTTCTCGACAATTCTCTCAATGACTTTACCCTAGTGACAACTCAGAGCAGAGTTGTACTTCTTTTTAAGTACGCTAGTGTTTGCATCCCGAGACCCCAATGTATTGGCCCTGGCATTGTAACACTCCAGCGTTTGCCGCGATGTAATTTTGCAGGAGCGATCAAACCAAGGATCTGCCGCCGATAGGCACTACAGATGACGGGAAGAAAACTTCCATCCCCTGAAGCACCACGTCGGCGACAGAGTCAGCAACGATGTTGGGATTACCCAGCGAGAAGCAAATCCGCCCCCCTTACGTAGGATACAAAAAAAAGCCCGCATCCCATCCCAATCCGCAGACCTATAGAGCCACACACGGCGAACGCCTGAATCGCGCCTGCAATGACCATGTAATAAGCACCTTACTTCGGCTCAGGCATTGATCCGAAGAGTCGAAGGGCATCATCGGACGACGAAGACCTGATTTACGTCCCAATGAGATGTCAGCAAAACGTCCAACAGGGAAGGTGCATGATCCTCCACATCTGGAATCAGCGATGGCGAAGTGAGCAGTTGTGTCAGATCATATGCCAAGAAAAAGCCGTTAACAGATCTCCCTGCATTATCCGTGGTACGAGAACCAGGCCATTCGGCGCGGCGTGATGAGCGTTGACGTCGTCAAGGAACACGATCTCTGCGGATGGGATCCGTTCTAGCTCGAAATCTGTAGCCATTTGGACGTGATACAAAGGCGATATAATACGATATCGATATAAAGGCACCCATAGACGCGGGGGTGGTCTATGGGTGCCTTAGGATGGACAGGTCCCTGCCTTCAAGACTACCGAGGCGTCGAGAATAGATATAAATGCCCAGTGAGGGATTCTCCAGGATTATCTATGCTGATACCCTCCCGGGGTAGATTTTTATTTAACACAGCTTTCATGTTTTGGGGGTGGAATGGGCTACTTAATTATATTTCAAATTATAACATAGTTGATTTGCAAAATACGTAGTTATAATTTATAATATAGAGTCACCAGATGGGCGTAGATGTGGAGTTAGCCTAGAGCACTATAATAATAATAATAATTTATTTATTTCTTACCACAAATGACATGGACATTGGATACATTAGTGTTACATCTCTGTTTAACAATATTATGCCATTCGTGGGAGACTGGTGCCCGTGTAGGTTCAAAGACCCGTATTACAGGTCACCCCCCCTCCCGAATTTACTAGGCACTTAGTATATAAGATATAATATACAGAGATAACTTATGTTATGATTAGAAATTATATAGAGTGAATTAACAGTTTGGCTATATAGAAATAAATAAAATAAAAACTATGTAATTATGTACGTATGTGTGTGTGTGTGTGTGTGTGTCCGTGTATATGTTTGTGTGTATTTATGATATTATTTGGAGTAATTGTTCAGTGTCTGTGTATAATAGAGTCTGAAGATATCCCACGATCTATTTTTACATGACCATTTGTTGACTTCATAAATAGGCAATTTTTGGTGTAATTTATTATACAAATATGGTCCCAAAAACGTGAAGAATTTCCTTGCAAATAGGGTTACCATATCTCAGGATTTGTCCTGAGATTTCAGGATTTTTAGACTCTTCTCAGGATTGCGGCTGGATTTTGCAAATCTCATGAAATCTCAGGATTTTTAGAACTTTCAATATAATACAGCTTACATTTTAAAATATCTCTTAATAAAAAGTTAAACAAACTAAAAATAATTTTCCTTTGGTAATAATTCCACAATTAAAATCTAAACTTATTTATCCAAGTAGGTACTTAAAGAGTTTTATCATACTTAATATGTGAAGATACCTTTTTAAGTAAGGTTTTCTTCTCAAACTGTAAAACAATCTCAGGATTTTTAAATGGATATCAGGCCTCTTCTCCGGACTTTGAATTTTTTCATCTGGTAACCCTACTTGCAAAAGACGTGTTGCATGGCACTGATCGAGCTACAAGATGATTACGGCGATGTTCTTTTTGAGTTACTTTTGTAATTGTGTGTTGTCTTAAGACTATATGGAGTACGAATAACTGTCGAACTGTAAGAACTTCGCTAATTAGACGCTATCGACATTTAATCCGCAAGAATTAAAAGAATCTGAATTCGCGATCCCTTGTGCAGCACAGTTGTGAAGGATTATTGTGAGGAGATCAAAATGTTTGAGAATTAAGAGAAAAATATTAAAAAAGACTTATAAGTAAGATACAAGTCCGAGAGCGACCTCGCAGTATGTCATAAGGGAAGGTTTTATTTTATAGAAGTAAGGGTGGTCCCGCAGATACGTGCTATATGATAACACTATGGCCAATAGACACCTACATTTCTTTTTTTATCAAAACGTTGAAAAAAAAGAAAAGTGCACACTAGGATGGAGGCAGTTTAAATACGTAAATTGCAAAAGGACAAACATCCGGACCCAGAACAATTACTTAAATAAGTCTTGAAAAAAAAGAAAAGTGCACACTAGGATGGAGGCAGTTTAAATACGTAAATTGCAAAAGGACAAACATCCGGACCCAGAACAATTACTTAAACAAGTCATACAAATACTTGTTCCATGCAGTATTTGAACCCGCAGCATTCAGCTTAATGTTTTAATTACTATTGTATTATGTACAACTTATTTATTTATTTATTTAAACTTCATATACACATATGTGGTATATAGGCGGACTTAATGCCTAAGGCATTCTCTACCAGTCTACCTTGGGATGATGCAGAGATAGAATGAAGTAAGTGTAATAAAAGTTAATATGCGAATACTAAACTAAAATAACAAAACAAATTGGAATTTAATAAAATTTAAATAATATTTATCCTTGATTAAGAATCAAAATGCAGATGTGTTGTCTAGAGTAATATTTAAACAGTAAGATTTAATGTCAGTAAAAAGGGTCTCTGAACCTCATCCCTCATGATACGAAATACAGCAGTTTTATGCTGATGTTTCACACTGACATTCTGTAGGTCGGCTCGACCAGGGAAAGCGAGGTCCTTCCAATCGTGCTGCAGCCATAAGACGCTGCAATTGACTTTGTTCTGTTCTGTTATTTGCTATTTTGATTATTCATCGGATTTAGGGCTTGCGGCCTCACTAACGTTTATATTGTATTTGTTTTGGACTGAAGAAATTCATCATGCTGCAGCTATATTAGTAGTATAGTTGTAGCACGAATGGGTCGGCTCGACCGGGGAAGGACCACGTTCTCACAGACTACCAGCGTAAAATAGCAGCTTAACGCTGCTGTGTTTCGTATGGTGAGTGTAGAGAACCGGAGACTCTTTTTACTAGAAACGACGCATTGCATCATAGCCCTCAAAGCATCTGCATGCAACCTGAGGTGGACTATGTGCTCGTTTGTCACCCTATACTATTAAAAAAATCTAAAAGAAGAAATCTTCATAGTAAATATTATTAGACAGTTAATAACATTAGTGTGCAAGTTAAAAATGACGATACCGCGACGTATAAAACCGGAATTGATGAAAAAATAATTGGGAGTATAACAAAAAATAATTATTTTACCCGTTAATTAATATAATTTATATAATATTTAACGAATATAATTTAATTAAATAAACACAAAAAATATAAATCAAAAATGATTCAAGTTGAAGGACTATTCGTATTCGTGCTTCCCAAGGCATTAACAATGCACACGTAAGATCGCGACAGCACATAAATATGTAGCTCAATGTGTCAGATGAGACAGTAGGTGCCGAGCCGTAGACCAAAACCTATTGGACAACTGTATATTAAACTTTGTATCAATTTTATTTTATGCAAAAAAATGCAATCACTTATAAATCTGGTGCTTTTTGTAACGTTCCTTTGTAACACGAACGCTGAACATGGACAATTACGTGAGTAATTTTAACATATTTGATGAATAAAAAATATTTTATGTATAATTCATACTATAACAGATTTCTTTAAATTATAAATGTAAAAAAACCGGTTAGATATCGAAACCATTTTTATTTAAATGTAAATATATTTTAAAGTTTGTATTTATGATTTTCATCACACATCATACAAGCGAAGTGTTTTAAGTCATTGCATTACTTATTTATTATTTTATTTCATCAAAAAGTTAAGTATTTAATATTTTACTAAATTGCGAATTATTTTATTTTTCCTAATCTGTACATATAAAAAATGGAAGTGTCTGTCTGTAATATGGAAATAGCTGCCTTCTATGGAACAAATAACCCCCTCATTATTTACATGCCATGCAAGTCATCAATAACCGGGCTGACCTTCGAAATGAGTGAACCAATTGTAATGAAACTCTACAAACAGATAGAGAGCGATGCCAGTAGCTAGCTAGCTATATTTTATCCTAATATTTTGGACATTTTAAAGAAAATTTATCTTAAGTCTAAAAAACGCCACAATAATAGATCCTACCCAGGCGAAGCCGGGTAAAATCGATAAAAAATCCGGATTTAATCAAAAGTTAAAATATTTTCATTAAAAATTGACCTTTACATAGCACTGTTTGAAAGTCAAAAAAGCTACGCCACTACTTCAACAGGTCTGACACGAACAGCGGGAGTCCTTGTGAAAAAAAGCAGCAAGACACTCACTACTAGACTGTTTTTCTGACTGACTGAAATGTCTTTATTATGTAAACTCGTTCTTAGTTTTTAAATATGTAGATACGTAATCATTTAATTTATAATTTCTTCTTTATATATATTTTTACATGGGCTTTGAATTTATCCAAGGGTATTAATAAAGTACAAAAGAGAGATTATTAACACAGGGCCAAATTGTTATTTTATTAGGGTTCCGTACCTCAAAAAGAAAAAACGGAACCCTTATAGGATCACTTTGTTGTCCGTCTGTCTGTCTGTCTGTCAAGACCCTTTTTCTCGGGAACGCATGGAGGTATCAAGCTGAAATTCATATCAAATCACTCAAATCTACTGTCCCTTGGAGCTGTGAAAAAATCAAACTTCTAAGCCAATCAAAAGATATAGCCGTTTATGCCGCCAATTTTCGACATTCGCAAGGGAATAAAAACCTACAGGGTACTTCCCGTGAACTCAGAATCTTAAAATTTGGTACGAAGCATCGTATTATAGCATAGATAAAGGAAAAATTGCGAAAAGCTTAAATTTTTAGTTACATCATATAATAAAATTAATTTAAAACTTATATACCTACGAATTTGTTCGGAACCCTCGGTGCGCGAATCCGACTCGCACTTGGCCGGTTTTTATTAATTGTAGGGTAGGGTTATTGTGTGTAGTAAGTTAATTCACTGCTCAACATAGGCCCCATAGACTACCACAAATAAAATAATAAAATAAATATCGTTTATTAGCGACCAAATATCTCTAAATACAAACGAGCTCTGTCTCCTGAACTAAATTATTTCTACTCGTAATTCTATATTCGGTAAGTACTTAAGATGATTCATTATTTATCAATTATTAGTAGTTTATAGCGGTTACTTCTAGTTTATGTTTAATGTGTTTTTCAGTGGTGTTGTGTGTATGTGTATGTGTTTGTGTGTGTGCGAGCCATTCCAGGATTCCAGCTTCATTGGTAGGATGTCGGTATGTTAGGTGCATTAATACCTTTAAAGATTCTCAAGCAAGCGTCGTCATTTGTAAGTTTGAATAAGTTTTTTTTAATAGCGACTGTTCTTAATTGTCTGAAAATACATATAATTTTTAAAACTCGAAAACAGACACTAATGATCTGTTCTTTCCAGCGCAAAGTATCATCTACTTGAACACCTAGTTATCTGATACATCTAGTTCTGGTTAATGTGTTAAAATTGCATTGGCTTAAAAGCTTTCCATTACATGCTAAAGAATGTAGTGTGATATGTATGTAATGTATATAGTCTTGATCTGGACCTGAAGTTGCAGACCTCGTGAAGCAGAGGTATTTGGTCTTTGAAATATTTAATGTAAGCCTGTTATTCTCTAACCAGGCTGAGACATTCTTCAAACAGGTTTCCAACTCTGACCATGAAATAGTAAGACAGTGTTATCAGCAAATATTTATAAATCTCACTAAGTATTTCATTATATTGTAAATTACAATACTTCCGGTAAAACAACAATAGTATATGTGTAGTAATAGTATATCTATAACCGTAACGTTACTATCTTTAAAAAAAAAGATTTTTCCATTGGATTTATTCAGATAAAAATTTGCTGTAGAGTAGTAGTGGGTCCCCCAGGCATATAACAATTGTGGTTTTGGGCTAGATGATAAATTTCAATGTTAATGTAACGTTACACTTAATGGTATTGAATTGAACTAAATTACTAATCTCACAAATTGTCGACAATTATGTAATATGTATTTGATATTAACAGTATAAATGTAAATAGTGTAGGTATGTTTCATTGAATTGAATTTAATGTATGTAGTAATACATATTATATTTAAATTTTAGCTTTCTGCACTCCTACACATAAACTTTAACTTTGCCAAATCTCACACTACTTTGTGCGTACAAAATTATCAAAAAGGGTACAAAGTTTTCTTTTTACGTTCTAATATATATATCGCAGGTTTATAACAAAACCATTAACCGGAAGAAGACAAAACTACTACTTAATGTTATCATAAACTTGATAAAATCCAGTTTTGCGTGTTCAAGTTCAAGTGGGTTCCTCTTTGTTCACCGCGGCCAAGCCACGGCTACCAAGCACCCTCCCCCGACAAGGCCGAAACCCATCCGGGGGCAACTATTATTATATGGGGAAAGGCCTAAACATACCCGCCTGACGGTGGCAAGGATGGTAAATGTCACACTCACGCCGACTAAAACCCCATGATGCTCCACCTACGTCGCATATTGGCAGGGCCGCGAGAACACTTTCGCACACATCCGCGGCCTCAACACCGCTGGCCGCCCCATGGCAGCACCTCCTCGGTAAAGGACTGCTCCTCCTCCATCTCCTTCTCATTTAAGGCGCACCTGAACACATGGCGCGCCTTGCTCCGCAGCCTCTAACTTCAGTCCGGAGAGGAACCTAACCTAATCTAACCTAAGCTTAAATTTTATCGTAAACCTAAATAAGTTCAAGATTTTGAAAAAGAAACAGATTTTTTTTCAGGTTAGTGATAAGATTAAGTAATAACTTTGTCTTCTTCCGGTTCTTGATAGAAAGCCAAGGCTTTTGATCAAAAACCTGATTTTACCATAAACTTGCGACATATAGATTGATTGACCAAATTTTCACTTCACAATCCTGATAGATTGATTATAAAGTTAATTTTGGTGTTATGTCATTTTAATGCTCATTACGGTCTTTTGTCATCTCCAATTCATCACATAAATTTTTGTATGTAAACAGTAATTAATACACATAAAATGCATACAAAAATGGAATACATTTAAAGGTAAGTAGGTACGCGTCCACAGGCTCGCATCGTACGCTTTATACGGATCGTATCAAACGGATTTCATAATTATTTGTATAGCTAGTGCGTCCACTGACCTGTAGAGAACAGACCACACGCACACGCATCGGTCTGTCGGTGCCATGCCATTTCTCACAGCGCAATTATCCCGTCGCGTGCCAATGTCATACAGACGTCATACGGATTGCCGATCAGTGTTCGCAGCGCCATCGGTCGGTAGCGTCAGCCCCAATTTGCATTGCAATAAATGTGGTCTCTGGATGTAAAGAAGAGTAACAAATTGGCATGAGACATAATAAAATATTGGAAGTACTTACTGCGCCGTTCAGCAAATTATGCTATGATATCTTCTTCAATTATTTCTTGTTCTTCTGCCAACTAACAGCACTCACAATAAGTTCTTTTTCATCAGTTCCTATTTTGTCTCGCACGCACCGTTTCCGCTCGTTCGCTTATTACGAAAATCCGATTGCTATTGTTAAAAAATTCGATTGCAGTAGATACTATGCTCGTTCTACCACAAACTAAACCATTTTATGCGATCCTGCCGATGCGTAGATGTGAGCCTGTGGAAATTTTTTGTCACTTTCTATTTTGTCTCGCACGCACAGTTTCCGATAGCTCGCTCATTACGAAAATCCGAATGCTATTGTTAAAAAATTCGATTGCTGGCAGATACAATGCTGGTTCTACCACAAGCTAATCCATTTGATGGGATCCGTCCGCTGCGGAGATGCGAGCTTATGGATATTTTTCTTCACTTTTTATTTTGTCTCGCACGCATATTTTCCGATCGTTCGATCATTACGAAAATCTGGATGCTATTGTGGAAAATTTCGATTGCAGCAGATACAGTGCTCGCTCTACCACATCCACAAACTAATCCATTTGATAGTTAGACGCGAGCCTGTGAACACGTATCTTTAAAAGACATTCTGAAATTTAATATCTTTTACATTTTAAGAATTTTTTATTGCTGCAATAATACATAGTTTTCTTGTTAAATAAACTACAATCAAAGTGTTTACATAATTAAGTATAGAGATCTACATGACACATCATACAAGTGCAAATTACTCTGTTCGTTTAAGCATGAGATTTTATGAGAGCAAAAATAAACTGGGTACCTTTATATTTATCTCCATCAATCTCATAAACATGAAACGTGTATGATGATTTATTTCAGAATAATAAGAAAACGTACATAACAATAGTTTTCATTACCTATTAAAGGGCATCAAGAATAATGCAAAAATTATACGGTTGTTTAAACATAAGGCATACATACATACTACGGTTTTTAAATGTACGAGTTAAGGAAGCCCCAGCAATATTTTCATTGTATGCAAAACATTGTCAAACATTATGGAGGAAGATCAAACCTAAGGCCAATATGTTAAAATGAGTATGGACTCTAACACTCGTAATGTTATTCCATTTTCAAAAATAGTTTAAAAAATAATCAATA